CATCGCTCACAACAGCGGTGAGGTGACCAAGACCACCTTCTCGGTGAGTGTGGCCATGCGTCCCGCTGTGTCCCCCCGTGTCCCGCTGTCCCTCCCTCCCTCCCCAGCCTGCTCTGCTCTGCGCTGGCAGTCTGGCAGTCCCTGTGCCGACGGGGAGCATGAGGGCGAGGAGGAGATTTGGGCAGAGCGTGGTTTTATGGGTGCTGTGTTCAGGTTGGGTTTGTTTTGGGACGAACCATAGATTACCTTCCTGGGGTTTTCAGCCCCAAAGTGCCAAGGAGATATAAGAGCAGTTCTGGCGTTCCGTGTTCGTGCACAGGCTGCGAATCGCGGGCTCTGTAGCTCCTCGCAGGGCGTTTAGTCGTACGGGCTTCGGGGAAGGAGCTCTGCTCTCCAGCCCGCGCTGTTCTGTGCTTTCAGCCCCCCGTACCAGCAGCCGCTGCCAAGAACCAGTCCAGGAGCCCCATCAAGCGCCGCTCGGGGCTGTTCCCTCGCCTGCACACGGGCTCCGAGAGCCAGGCGGAGAGCAGGACGAGGTGGTAAGTTTGACACCGCCCTGGTCGCTGCGGTTAAAGCCCCCATTGCCTGTTAAACATTCGAGGAGCTGGTGGTGGGTGCTGAGGATCTCCCCTTTCCACACGAGCCCTGCTGCTTTTGCCATGTTCAAGGGAACGGAGCCCTGGATCCCTTCCCTCTGTTTTAAATCAAAGGGGTGGCATCCAGAGAGCATCTGCTGCCCTTACAGTTCAGCATTTGGCGATAGGGAGCATAATTTGACCATCCGTTTTAAGCCTCTTGTGTAACTTGTGCAACCTGTCTCTTCGTGCCCTCAGCGACAGCGTTTCTGGAGCCCAGAAGACACCAGATTTGGGGCATTCTTCTCAAGAGATGAAATCTGAAACGTCCTCCAACCCCAGCTCCCCCGAAATCTGCCCCAACAAAGACAGGTGAGCGGGGAGGACCCATCCTCCTCCTCGGACCGGAGCTCGGGTCACCCTGTAGCTGGCAGACCATCAGGGATTTTGTCAAACAAAACTGTCCCCAGGTTTTACTATAAATAAGTTTGATATTAAGGGAGGGGAAAAAAAAGATTCTGGTGATTCATGAGCACAGCTCCTTTACGGGCTGAAAATAGCCGTCTTTAAAAAGAAGCAGAGCTAGGAGCGGTGTTTGACAGAAGTCGCCCAAACCTCGTGGCACGGGAGCTGGGGAGGCCGGTGGTGCCCGTCCCTCCTTGCCACCGGGGACCCAGCCTGACCCGCGGGTCTCTGCTCGTGGCACCCACCAGCTGCTTTATCCCGTGCTCTGGGGAATGGTTGCGTACAGAGTCCCCCCCAGGTTTGTCCCTGTGGCGGCTGCTTTGCCCCGGGGGCGCGCGGGAGGGTCTGTCCCCGCTGTCACGGCCCGAAGGACACGGCGTTCCACGGGACAATGGCGAGCTCTGCGTTTTGTGTCGCCTCTCCTCCCAGGCCGTTTATTAAGCTGAAAGAGAACGGGAGGTCGAACATCTCCCGTTCCTCCTCGAGCACCAGCAGCTTCAGCAGCACAGCGGGGGAGAGCGAGACGCTGGAGGAGTACGACAGCGTGGTAGGCACCAACCCTGCCCCGTGGCGCGCTCGGGACCCCGTGGCGTCCTGCCGCCTCCGGCCCTTGGGTGCTCTCCGTGCAGGGGGAAGGGTCCCACGCCCCCCAGATGCCGCCTCCCCGCTGGCATCGAGGGGCTCAACCCCATCCCCGGGGAGGAGGAGGGCCGGGGCGCGCAGCGGGACACCCCAGCGAGCCTTGGCACGCGCCGGGGCAGCACTGGGCACAGCGGGGCCGGGAGGCTGCTCCATCAGGACGAGCGCCGACC